GGGGGGGCGGGCCGGGCGGGGAAGCCAAGATGGATCGGGTGACCGAGACAGGGCCGGGAACCCCACCGCCCGAAGGGGCCCCGAAGGTAGTTTGCTATCAGTGCGGCCAGGAGGGCCATTACAAGAGGGACTGCACCCTGATGGACTGCACCCTTGGGCAGAGGCACGCGGGAGGCCCGGACAGGAGGGCAGCAAGCGCGGCGCAGGTAATTAAAAGGCTGTGGGTTAACGGGAACCCAGTGGAGGCCATACTCGACTCGGGGTGCAGGCAGACCATTGTCCGGAGGGACGTGATACACCCGGTGCGGACCCGGGGCGCGCCTGTAGCCCTCTGGTGCGTCCACGGGGACATCCACTACTACCCTACGACCTGGGTACGGATAGGGGATGGGGAGCTGGAAGGGGAATGCGTAGTCGCCGTCGGCCCTAAATTAGCATACCCGCTCCTGCTGGGATGGGATTGGCCCGGCCTGAAACGATTCCTGGGGCAGTGGAACAGTGGGAGGAATCCCAGACCGGAGCCAGAAGCAGGGCAGGGGACCCTGGTAGCCCAAGGAGAGCAGGATGGGGGGGGGGGGGCAGGCCATTGGCCCGGCCTGAAGCAACTCCTGGGCCGGGGGGACAGGGGCCGGAACCCCGGACAAGAGCCCGAGGTGGGGCAAGGGACCCTGGTAGCCCAAGGAGAACAGGAGGGGGAAGAAGCGATCCCAGGGGTGGCCCCGGCGGCTGAGGCATCAGGGCAGACCCGACTCGACGTCGAGGAGGGGGACTTCCTTACACAACAGCGGGAAGATCCTACCCTACGGGCAGCCTGGGAGCAGGTGCGCACTACGGGAGAAACTCCAGGAGAAGACCCGCCCAAGCAACCGGACGGACCTCGGTTCGAGGTAAGAGATGACCGCCTTTATCGAGTGTCTCCAGGGGAACTCCCAGGGGAGGAGAGATGGCAGCTGCTGGTCCCGAGGCCGTACAGATGGAAGGTCCTGGAGCTAGCGCATGAACACCCGTGGGCCGGACACCTGGGCACGGAGAAAACCCAGCAGAAGGTACTCCAGAGATTCTATTGGCCCGGGGTGTACCAGGAAATTAAAAATTTCTGTAGCTCCTGCCCACAGTGCCAAAGAACGTCCGGGACCCAGGTCCCGCCGGCTCCCCTGGTTCCCCTGCCCGTGGTTGGGACCCCCTTTGAACGGGTGGCATTGAACCTGGTAGGACCGCTCGAGAAATCAGGGCGCGGGCACAGTTACATCCTGGTCATCGTGGACTATGCCACCCGTTGCCCAGAGGCGGTGCCCCTGAAAAGAGCCACGGCCCCCGCCATAGCAGAGGCATTGGTCAAGTTATTCTCATGGGTCGGGCTGCCCAGAGAGTTACTGACGGATCAGGGGACGAACTTAACTTCTAAGGTTATGACGGAACTGTGTAAGGTCTTGCAGATTAGGAAGCTCCGGACATCGGTATACCATCCCCAGACCGACGGGCTTGTGGAGCGCTTCAACCGCACGCTGAAATGGATGCTCCGGAAGTTCTCACAGGACGACCCCCGGGAATGGGATAAGCTGCTCCTGGCACTGAAGTTCGCCGTCAGAGAGGTACCACAGGCATCACTCGGGTACTCCCCCTTTGAGTTGTTATACAGGCGGCGACCGCAGGGAATCTTGGACCTTGTAAAGGAGGGCTGGGAAACGTCGGTCTCTCCCGCCCTGGGGGCGGCCCAGTACGTACAGAAATTGAGGGGGACCCTCCATGCCCTGGCGGGCCGGGCACGAGAGAACTTAGAAAAGGCGCAAGAAGGGCAGAAGGCCTACAACGATAAAAAGGCGCAGGTGAGGGAGTTCGAACCGGGCGAGCAAGTCCTACTATTGCTGCCTAGTGGGGAGTCCAAGCTCTTAGCCCACTGGCAGGGGCCCTTCCGGGTAATAAGGAAACTCGGCCCGGTGTAGATGGGTGGCAAATCTTGCCAGTCTAGACGCAGCCTTAGTCATTGCATCCTCATAAAAGTAAGAGACAAGATTTCAGGGAAAGTGTAGAGTGCAGTATAACCAACAGGCTGCTCAGTGAAATCAGAAACTCATCCTGCTTGATCATGTTCAGTCATCTGTGAAGGGGAAATTCCTTTCCAGACCCTAAAGTTGCAGTCAGCTGCCACCTGAGCGTACAAGACCACTTATAAAACAGACTATGCAGTATGCAAAGGTCAGCAACCCAAACTCAAAGTCCCATTGCACAAAAAAGAAACAGAAGAAAGGGGAAAATGACTGAGAGCAGACCTGGTGAGAACAAATGGGACTGGAGTATAATGTTCCATGAGGATTTCATATGTTTTCCACTTAACAAAAAAAATCAAAATTTGAATTTCCAAAAAATGTCAAGCAGTTCTAGCAGAAAATCACCCCCATGCATTAGTGAATTATAATGGCAAAGAGAAGCAGGTGGCAAATCCAGACACTTGGAATATCAATTCTAGTAAAATCAGATCATTTCTACCACCCCGCTGTCAGGGGCTAGTTCTGCAGCCCCAGAGACAGTGCCAATTGCATCCCAGTTGTCCAAGAGCACACACAAATTCCCTGAGCAGCTGGGACATGCATGGTCAATATGCAAAGTGCCTGCTATTTTCATGGAGCAGTGAGTTTGCATGTAATTGTAGGATTTTGCCCAAAGACCATCTCACACCATCACCACTGCCGTTTTTCCAAGTAAAAATCTATGCCCAAGACACTAGTGGGAAATGCTATTTCGTAATGATTCATATTTGATTTGATTTGTGAAAAATCTTGAGCTCTCAAACGTACAAACCATCCAGAGAGAAAGCAAGCCATATATTTACTACCCAAAGATATATCTACTTAATAACAACTTGTCTAATTACTGCACACTGGGCTAAATGTCTTTGTCATGTTAAACTTACAGTTTAAATGTGCCATAGACAGAAATGATACAATACAGAATTTCTCCTTTAAAAAGTTTTTCTTCACTTTAGATTCTTCACTCACAATAGTTCACATAAGTGCCACCATCGGCACTTTCAGTGGAATTACTTTTCCTGTCTTAGATCACAGGAGAATGACACACACACACACACATATCCATTGATACTAATGGTAGCAATGAAAGATTGCTAGTGTAGAAAGTAGTTAAAATGTCACAAGTCTATTTCACTTCAACCTATTCTCAAGTAGGATTAGGTGACTCACTGTAGTAATGGTGGCAGCAGACTGTAGCCTTGTCAAATTAGTGTCAAGCAGCTAGGATAGGGGTTTTTTTTTCAGAAGAGGTATGCAAATAGTAATCATATTTGCATACCTTCTTCCGTTTGTTTTCTGGAAGAGGCTTTTCTGTCATTTGGCCCCATCTACATGGGGCCAAATGTTGGAAAAGAAACCTCTTTCGAAAGCCCCCTTTTTCCTTGTAAAATGAGATTTACAGGGGGGTTTTGAAGGGGGGGTTCTAACATTTGGCCCCATGTAGACAGGGCCAAATGGTAGAAAAGTCTCTTCCGGGGAAAAAACAGAAGAAGGTATGCAAATATGAGCGCTATTTGCATACTTCTTCAGAAAAAAAAAAGACAGTGTAGCCATATCCCTACAGTTTTTTGCATAATGGTTGAAAAATATTTGTTTTTTCATATTCAATTCCAGTACTGTTTCTCACCACAGTTTACAGTAATTCCTTAAGGTAGATCCCCTGTCTGATATGCTGTTTATAAGATATGCACTGAGGCAGCTAGCATGCTGTGTTATCCATTTAGAGTATGATATAATGCAACTTGGACAAATTCCTTTAAACAGGATTTAATACATGAATACCCTCCCCACTAATCAACTGTGAGCTTGAAGGCTTGTTATTCTCAGTGAATTCCAATACCATACAGGAAGAAATTGACTTTGCACCTGCCATTTAGTTTCCTGATGGAAATGACATACAGTACTGTAGTATATACTATGGTGATGTTAGCTAACTCTAGCTTCAAGCTGTCATGATGGAGGCAGGAAATGGATGGGTCAGTAAAATAACATGCTCTCTTCTGATGTTCATGACTGACTTCTATTCCAGTGCTGGCAAATAAGCACTGTTTCCATGGCAACCTTCTAACCAAACATCATACTTGGAAATTATTCACATTCTTGAGATCCCTTTAAAGGTCTGACTGATAGTTTGTAGATTGCAGAGTCAGGAACATTCAGTTTAAAGTAATGCCTACTGCCTCGGTTTTCAGAATGTTTCTTCACTCAAATCAATAGTTGAGGCATGTTTATCATCTAGGGCTTCATGGAAATCTGAGGATCCTTGAACTAGTTTGCTGAACTGAACTTAAACATGGTGATCAGGATAGCTATCTTTGACAGCACATGTGTGTGTCATTGTCATGTTAGGACTATGGTTTAATGTTAGTTTTAAGGGTCTGGAGATGAAATCCCAGCCACACTGAAGTCAACTGCTACTTTTTGTACGGCCCAGATTATAAAAGAAATGTCAGTTTCCCAACAGTGTCCTGCACGACAGAGTCTCTTTTTCAGTTCACAGGCAGGAAGTGAAATTCAAGTTTGGACTCACCAAATCTGTGGTCAGTAGGCAAACCTGAAGGGTTACCCCCAGGACAGAATATTCACAGTAACAGAGTTTTCTCCTTCTCGAGTGTGTATTGGTCAATGCTCTTCCAACTGTCAGAAAGAAACTTTTGGAATTCATCCGCCATATGAGTGAGTCCCCTTGCCTACAGCTTTTGCCAAGACAGTTGGTACTTTCTCCAACTGCAAAGCTTTTGCTTTTCCATCATATTTGTAGCCATTGGCTTTGATATGATGGTTGTATGTCTCATATCACATGAGTTTGAAGAACACAATGACAGTTTATTTCCTTCCTCCTCATCCTCTGATATTGCAATACAACCGAGTGTAAGCTATAATGTTCTGCAGAAAAATGAGGAATATTCAGTGTCTCTCAATACATACAAATCAGCGAACATTTTCACAGCTTTGCACAAATATCAGGGAACATCCACACAATCCCTCCGAGGTGGCATTATCCCTGTTGTATACTATGGGGAAATGAAGGCAGAGTCAAGGTATTTCTCTAAGGCTGAACACAGCAGACCAATCAACAATAGCACTCTGATTGGAATTGATTTATAGCATTGTTCTCCTACACTAACCATGATCACAGCCTATGTAACTAAATTGAAAACCCTAGACACTAATTTTAGCCAAAGAATGTCTAAGATAGTTTCAGAGTAAGAAACCATTATAACATATCAATTAAAATAATGAATGTAGAGGGTACTTTAGGATATGTGAGGTTTTGACCGTAGTACTAGATCATTCTCATTCATTAAGGAACTTTATAAATAGTAAGGAGTTAAACATTGTTTTAATGAACTGTGAAATGCATGTGTCATCTTCAACATCAATAATTCAGATATCACTGATCACACTGATTTTGTGTTCAAGTGGATCATGTTCCCTAAATATTTTATTAAAAATTGTATTTAAAATAGTTAATGGATGCTTTCAAAGAATAACTCATTTCTAGATACATCACACCACCCGGTTCTTAATTATTAGAAAGGTAATCCTATATTGTAACTGATTTTAAGCATTTTGCCTTTCTACATTTATTTCTAATTTCATGTAACCAGGAGATTTCTTTTTAAAAGAGGGCATTTTAACATTTAATATCTGACATGCATAAGGCTTTCTAATATCCAAATAGCAATTATATTTAAAGGGAAGTTAGTGATTCATGAAATAGAAAATTACAATGTAGCATACTTTGATTATGATTACTTACACTCAGTAAGGAAGTTTTCTTGGCAAGCACTGTGGAACAGAGCAAAATATGTCCACATTCTGACCTTAGAAATGATGAATAAGCTCCATCAAATCATCTTGCAATGATGCGTCACAGAGGTGGATAAAACAAAATTCACAGAAGAAATCTATATTTTCCATTGAAGATTTAAATTTGTCAACAAAAAGGACACACTTTTCACGTGCTTTAGAAATATTGGTTTTGCGCCATTTTATTCCATGAGAAAGGAAAGATCTTCTATTCCAGTCAGCATTCTATAGACTCTTTTACAGGCATCCATCATTATTTGCTCACTGAAGCATTATACACAGAAAAAAGGGACAGCTAAACTGATTTAAACCAGACCTAGAGAAATCTGATAGATATTGAGCTTTAGGTATAAATTACAATTGGCCTTTCACCTATAAAAAAGAGAAACATGGCCTGACCGAATATCACAGATTCTCATGGCTAGCTCTGAAACCGTTATTGTGAATTATTACTGGGCAAAATGAATTATGGCAGGGCAAAATTTCCACCACCTCCTCTTTACAGTTTAAACTAACTAATATGCTACCTTGGAGATAGAGCAGAGATTAGAAAGTTCTAAATTTCTATATAGCTCCAATAGAAGAGTGCCCACAAATTAGCTATGTAGGACAATAAAACTGCTCTGTTATTTGGAGACCGTTAGCTTTCTGGGTTTTCCCCTAGCTATGTCCCTTTAATCAAGGAAAATGGTCAAACATCTGTAGCTTTCTTTCCCTCCCTATTTGATTGGCTCTTGCTCTCTTCCCTATGGGTATGTCTACACTACCCTCCTAGTTCGAACTAGGAGGGTAGTGTAGACATACCCAAAGATTGGTACACTACCCTTGATCTAAAAGATGCCTACTTCCACATTACTATCACACTGCATCACAGATGGTTCCTCTGCTTTATAGTGGGCCAGGACCACTATCAGCTTATGGCCCTCTCTTTTGGCCTTTGTACAGCCCTTCGAGTATTCACAAAGTACATGGCCATTGTGGCCACTGCCCTGAGAAAGCGGGATGTCTAGTGTTCCCCTACCTGGATGACTGGCTTCTCCAAGCTTCTTCTTCGGATCAGCTGCTTGCTCACATCACTCTAGTGCAGTGGGGGTATGTCTACACTACCCCGCTAGTTCGAACTAGCGGGGTAGTGTAGACATACCCTATCTTACTTAGGGGACAAAAAACCCCTGTATATTTTCCATTTCAATTTATTTAATTAACTTTTTAACACTACTGTTGAGGAATCACACGATTGTGTTTTTGTTATCAACCAAGTTGGGAGAGTTTCATAATGTGCAAAAATGACTGAAGCATCCAACCCAGAGATTGTAAGCATGAAACATGGAGGCAGGATTGGGAAAGGAGATTAACTAAGGGATACACTGGGCTGTGATTGCAATTTGTGTAGACACAGCTGAGCTAGCTTTACTGTAGTGAGCTAAGGCACTGAAGCAGTGAAGTCGTAGCAGCATGGACTTCAGAACAGGCAGTACAAGTCCAACCAGAACACTGGAAAATGGTTTGTGTTCTATGCCAGTGTTCAAGCTAGCTCATGTATATCTAAGCAAACCTTAATCACGCGCTTTGGTTACAGTATAGGGACACCCTGAGAGAAAAGCAGGAAAGGCAAGAGGACAGTAATGGCAATATAGCAAGAAGCAAAAATAATACAAAGGGCAGGATTCCGACTATCAGGACTAGCTCTACTCTAGCCAATGGCATTACTCGGGGTAAAACTAGAGCAAAATAAGGACCAGGCTGCTAGATCACATTAAGGTATGTGATTTAGTATTTGGTAGCAGTGAAATGAACATGCATGAGATAAAGAACAGGGGACAAATTATCTTTAGTTATCCCTATGTCGGTCTTTAAGCACTGCATGAAGATTGCTTGCCATAGAAAGCAGCCACTCACAAACTTCCTAGCCACAATAGTCCATTTAAATGGCCTTGCTCTCTAATGTACATCCTTAAATATACATGGGGATGTGGCATGGGAGGGATTAAAAAGCGTAAGCTATGCTGTTGCTTATCTCACCTGGAGACCCATCAGGCTCTATCCCTCTATTGCACATTAGTCATACTCAAAATGCTGCTGTTAACCATTTAGCAGGTTCATCCTGTTGCCAACCTGCAATCAGATATCCTTCCCTACCTGCTCCAAAACACAGCCCAAACTATTCCCAACATTCTAGTTTCACTTGCATAGAATCTATGAATTGCTCCACAGAGTTTGGTGTTTGGTTAATTAAATGAATTACTTATCACAAGCACCTAAGAGCTGGACACATGCCAAGATCCCAGTATACAAGGCATCTTGGAAACTCAGAGCAAAGAGACAATGTCTTATACTTAAATTGTCAACTTTTTGGTGGAGACAGCCTGGGGACCACAAGGATACACTGAGACAGATGGTCAGCATGATTGATACCAGTCTCAGAACTCCAGTTGCCCTTGTAAGCATCACAATAAAATCAACATTTAAGACGAGATTGCCAGACTCCTTTGAAAGAAAAACAGGCTAGTAATCAGATTAAACACTATAATACCTAATATCAAAGAGCCTAGTCCAGTTACTCAAGTAGTGCAAATCAGCATAGGTACTTAGAAATCAGAGCCTCAACTGGTATAAATTCCAATGAAGAAAGAAGGGCTAAGACAGTTTATACCAGCTAAAGGTCTACTCCTCAACATTAAAGGCTATGTCTACACTACTGCAGTAAGGTTCGCAATCTAGCTACATGAATAAGGTAATGGGAGTCGACTTACATTAAATTGAGTTACTGTGGGGCTGGAGGGAAGAAACTCCCCCATCAATGTATTTTACTCTTTTTCGTCAGCAATAGACTACAGCTCTCCAATCGGCCACTATCTGTGGTCGATTCGGTGGCTCTTCACTAGCTCTGCTAAATTGCCCGCTGGTGGACTGATCTCTGAGTTTCGATCCCATGTATAGTGTAAGCCTTCCCATATACGTTCCTCTGTGGAAAACTGCTCAGCCTGCAGTTTGGCTCAAGTGCTTTTCTGTGAGCTCTGACTCAGTGGTAACTAAATGTAATTTCCTGTAATTACTCTTTGTAATATGTTTAACAGTATATTTTCTCCTTCAAAATCATCACAATATTTCTTTAATGCATAATGGTATTGCAAACAGACAGTTTAGTATTTATTACCCTCTTAACATTGCTGTTTTCAATGTTTTTTGCAGTTTCTTCTGTGTATTTGATTTATGACATTTTCCTTCTGCATCAACTGCCATCATTGCCAGCAGGTAAAAATGGTGTAATTGGCAGATAAATTTACTTTGCAGGGGTTTCTTTTGCTGACATGCCACAACGACAGAAAATTACTTCAGAAAACAAACGCAAATTCCCAGTAAGGTAATTCTATTGGTGAAATTATTCATGGGTTTATGAGGCTTGCTCTTCAAACAGGTAAGCAGCCCAAAAGTGTTTCCTTAACCAATCTGGCCATGTTTAGTGACTCGGTTGATAATCCAGCTCAGGATAATTCTGGATTGCACTACCCTAAGCCTCTCTCAGCACTCAAGATGACATTATCCCATTTCAGAGGGGGCTAATTAACAAATAAGAAAGTAAGTCTGCTAGAAATGCCCAATCATTTTATATTTGAGATCTTGTTGTCATTATGTAATAAAATAAACCAGAGGTGAGGAAGCTTAGGCCAGGGGGAGGGGGGCAGATATAGTCCCTGGTTTGCCTGAATCTGATCCCTGAGGCTCAGCATTGGGGAGCTTGTGCTGGTGCTCCAGCCTCCCCCCTGCCCGCCCATAACAGAGCTGGAGCACACAAAATCTACTAAACTGGCTCCCCCAGGCTCTGGTGTGTGAGGGGAAGTGGGGAGTTTCTTTCTCCTTCTTTCCACATCCATGAGAGGTTTTTTGGAGGGGGAGTTGTTTCTTTGCTTTTTCTTTTCACTTGTGTGCGGCTTCCGACTGATTTTTCTGTGAGTCAGTAGCCCCCATCCCAAGAAAGGTTCCACACTCCTACAATAAACCAACTATTGAATCTAAGTTTTGGACTCCTCTACATCATTGTAATCTACAGTAATTTCACAAGAATATTTTTAAAACATCTCAGACTATACTTATAATTAGTGACTATATCACTGCTTCTTTCAAAACAAGTTTTAATAGCACCTTTTAGTGCAATGCATGAATTATTTTCCTGGATGTACTCATGATATTTTGCCAATTATTCTTCAGTTAAAAGGTTTTTGAGAACCTATAGCTGTAATTTACTTCTGTGTATGACTACCAAACCATTTACTATTTCTTGGAAAGTCACTCCTAGTCCCTTAAATTCTTAGAGATTTCTGAATATGACTCAGTGGAGGAATTCTATCCAAGATACTGTACCTCTACTCCTAAATATTTGCCCTTAGTTGGATCAGGCAGGAAGAAATAATCTCAGATGTTTGGATCTAGAACAATGAACTGTTAATTGCATTAGCCCCAGAACTTTATAAATGGCCCATTCATGACAGGAGGAACAGAGGCAGCTGACCAGGGTGTTACAGAAAGAAAGCATCTAATCAGCTCTTCATAACACGAATATGGTTTACTACCTGCTTTGCTACGGTCATCCTGGTATGTGTACGATGGGGTGCAGTCATAGAAGTCCTTTTGGGATTTTTCCTCAGTGTGCTGATCATGCCACTGACATCAACATTCATGCTCTCTAGGGCTTCTCACCATCCTGGCTTGATGGGCTAGATCCTCTAGTTTCCCCCAGATCATTCATAGAGTTGGGGTTACCACCCTGCCACTGCAGAGCAACGCACATACTGAACCACCTTAGCTCTGGGAGGACGCAGCTCTAGGGCACATCACTCAGGAAACCGGTACACAGAAAGTGATCAAAACCCTGAACAAAGCAGTCTTTAAAAGTTTTACACAGTGAAAGCTCATTAGGTAAGCTCCCTTTATCAATGAAAGAGATATGCACAGTGGTGGCTCCCTCAGGTAACAATTATTTACACTGGGCCTGTTAAGGAAAATACTTTTTTTTTTTTCACTAAGTACAAGCAGTAGGAGTTAAGTGGCTGCAAGTAAAAATAGACAAACCAAAGTAAGTTACTAAATTAAAACGAATCGAAAATGTGTAAAAGTTTCAGAGAGGCAGCCGAGTTAGTTTATAACAGGAAAAACTTAAAAAGCAACAGTTTAGTAGCACTTTAAAGACTAACAAAACATGTAGATGGCATCACGAGCTTTTGTGGGCATAGCCCACTTCTTCAGATGACCGAAGTGTAGAACCAAGAATAAATAAGAGAAGGAGGGAGTGGAAAAGGGAGAGAAGGAAAAAAATTGGAGGGGAGGGAGGGAGGGAGGGAGGGAACAGCAAGCCACTCTGTAACAGGAAAAAATTTAAAAACAACTAATAGTCTATTAGCATCTTAAAGACTGAATAGTTAAAAGAGGCTGATAAGAGCCATTAGTATGCACTAGGAAAGGAAGAGTACTAGCACCAGAATCTACACAAACGTCAAGAACCATTGGCACCTTCATTGTTTGTTTGGGTATGTCTACATATCAAAGTTAATTCGAAATAACAGCCGTTATTTCAAATTAACTTTAATAGCATCTATACAGGCAAACCGCTATTTCGAAATAAAATCGAAATAGCAGGGTGCTTAATTCGAATTAGTTAAACCTCATTCTATGAGGAATAATGCCAAATTTGAAATAGCTAATTCAAAATAAGTGCTGTATAGATGCTTATTTTGAAATAGGGGGCCTCCAGCTCTTCCCAGGGAGCCCTGGTGGCCACTCTGGGCCAAACCAGGAAAACTCCTCTCCTCTCTCCCAGCCCCAGAGCCCTTAAAGGGGTAGACTCTGCCCACACTGCATGTGCCAGCTACAGGCCTGCAAGCACAGAGCCAGTAGTCACTGACCCTGACACAGTGGCCCCAAGATAAGTTGGGTAGCCAGATCCAGCCAGCCCTCCAATGCCCAGTCCCTCAGCTCCCAGGAGCCAGCCAGGGGCCAGAGAAGGCAGGCGCCATCCTGGACTAGTGCGGAGATCATGGACCTCATTGAGGTTTAGGGGGAGGCCTCCAACATCCATGATCTCCGCTCTAGATGGAGGAATGCAGCCGTCTACAGCTGCATAGCTGCCACCATGGCCACTAAAGGCCACATGCGCACCCCAGAACAGGTGCGCATGAAAATTAAAGAATTGCGGTAGGGATATGACATGGCCACACGGAGCATCTCCCAAACAGGGCTACACACCTGCCCCTATTTAAAGGCCCTGGATTGCATCCTAGGGTGCGGGACAGTCCATGCCAGCCCAGGGGGCAGCGAGCTGGGAGCAGAGGGCCCTGACCAGGGCACGGAGGAGGAGCCGCTACAGAGGATGCCATGCCGGCAGGACCTCTGAGCTGTCCCAGCAGCGGAGTCACCAGGGTCATACAGGGAGGCTACATCCTGTAAGTGCCATCACTGTCCCCTTCCTGCAGGGGGTGGGGAAGGAGACCAGGGACCACGCGCGTGGGCCTTGCTTACCACAGATCACGCAGCAACCTGTGCATGTGCGAGCACATGCCATGCCACCCCTGCGCAGGTGGCTCCAGCTGCGTGCCACTCAGGAACCGGGGCCTGATAGCCATACACGGGTGTGAAGAGATCTGACATGCTCCTGACCCTGGGGCAGGACACAGCAGGATGCCCTCCCTTCACAAGCCCCCTCTACACAGAGGTAGGGGACATTTCCCCTCCACCGTGGCCGCACTAGGGTCATGGGTGTGGTCTCGGGGCAGCTCCCACTCCTGGGGATAACAGGACATTCCGACCATGGCCTCTGTGCAAGCACAGCAGCTCTGATGGTGCAGGGCACGGTCATCCTCACCTCACAGAGGGGGGCTGGGCTTCATCCACTGTGTCCCCAGGGAGAATTGACCACTTCTCTTCTTTCTCCACAGCTGCACCAGCTGCGTGTGTAGGGTGCACAACCCCACCAGACCCGGATCATGGAGCAGCGGGCGCAGGACAACCGGGAGTTCCAGTGGGAGCTGCTTGCCTAGGGTCGTGCCATCTGTGTCCATCTGCAGACCCTGGTGCAGAGCGTGCTGCCTTGTGCCGCTCCAGTGCCTGCTGCCGCCCCAGCTCCCGCTCCTCTTCCCACTCCTCCCCCCCCCGCCTCTATCTCCTCAACCTCCACACCCTCCTCCTCAATCTCCACACCCCCCACCCCAACCTCCACACCCTCCTCCTCATCCCCTTGGGGACATCAAGGCCCCCACACCCTCCTTGCTGGGAGACAGTTGGCCCAGTGAGACCCCCACCCCAAGCCTTGAGCTTCCCCTCATCCTTGTTTCCCTTGCTTCCCCGTTCCAGCTCCCTCTTCCAGTTTTCCCCCTCCCCTCTCCCGCCCCCTTTTCCCAGTGTCCCCAGAGTTTCCTTCCCC